AAATCTTCTGAATTCGGAAAGAGGATTATTTCGGAAGCTCAAGAGTTCATCTCAAGAAATAAAAACAGCATGTATTAACTATGAAGCAGTGAATGAGCTTGATTTTTAGTCCGTGAAAATTCCTGATACTTCTCTTATTCGTCCTGATAAACTACACTCATGGAGTCGCTCAAGCTCATATTTGTCTAATAATGGCTTCTATTCTCGTGGCAAAATGCGAAATGATTCAACAGAGAATTGTAAGGCCGGTTACAGAGCTTGGCACAGATCTGACAAATATGTAGTGGTAATGATCCCAAGCACACGATACTTGGAGTCAAACACGAGATAATCGAGGAGGGGACCATGTTACGTCTGGCCGATTTTGAACGCTATATTCGCTTCCCTAATCTAGTTCCGTACCCCCGAGCTAGAACTATACACCGACTTGAAGACCAGAGAAAATGCACAAAGTGTGAGGGAAGCACTTTACTACAGGGTTCAATCTTGTTACAGAAAATCATAGGTATTTATAGATGTTAGTCAATCCATTAACGACATTTTATGATACCGACCAATAGTATCACGCCACGTTGGAACTCTAGAATGTTCCATCGTATTCTGATTGGCTGGGGCTCTTTATGAGCCTCTGGAGGCTCTGTTAGAGTTCTCCAGAAGCCCTTTCAACAGACTGAAAGTGGTGAACATGAATAGACTTAATCGAAAAAGCGCTTTTCGGTCATTCAAGCATGGTCTCTCTGTAGTGGTATTTTCTTGTAACCGCATGATTTTCGAAGCTGGACACAATTACAGAGAAGATTGACACTCAAAATGAAACATTTGGAGGAGGTTGGTAATGTGAACATCGTGGAAACTATCCGGCAGGGTGTAGTCAGCCTCTTAGACGTGATCGTTCTTGTGAAACCCATAGCTTTCTTCATTTAATTCATCACCATCTCCCCAGGCAAAATGTGTTCTCCTTAATCGTTAAACACCGTATTGCTGATTGTCGTGATACGAGGAGTCAGTGTAGACAGTGATGTGAACTCGATGTAGTCTGTTATAGATTAAGCAGTCACAACATGACAAATCTACACTTCTGGGATTAGGTCTATCATTATAGTACGTAAGATAAATGTACTAATACCGAAGTAGACCACAAATTTACAAATGTTCAACCTATGGTAAATTTCACTTGCGTGATTCATGTTTCTTTCGTCATGCTAAACGCTTTAAGTGTGGTAAAATGGAGTACATCCAGTCGGTTTTCAGAACTAACCTTCATCTCACCGCAAGTAAGGCTTTACAGTGCGATTAGGGTCCTTTTGATTCTAGTGATTCTATTAACCATATAATACCTGCCCAACTGTACTTTCATCATGCTTATGTTGACACTGGTAGTGTTCAGTCCCTCATTTCAATTGGAAAGCTAAAATCATTAAATTCCGTTATTATAAGCAAACCTACCAAAATTTCTGTTTCCAACATTACTGGTCATAAACATCTTATTCTGTGATTTGTTGATTAGATACGATAAATATTCAGTCCTAAGTTGTGAATTCCTCATTACTGTTTGTGGGACATCTATCCTAGGTCTAGAAAATTAAGGAATGCTTCAGGGATGGCTTCCCTTATTGACCACTGATAACGGTTCTAATGAAGAGCTTGATAACTTGCCAGCCATGGAATCGAAGTGAGAAAAATTACTCACAACTCCAAAGCATTCTCACTCTCATAAGTAAGCTAGAAATTTCAAAATCTTGAAAACAAGCATCAATTCCATCACTGCCGCAAAATTCAAAGATATGAAGAGGAGAACAGACAAAGTCCTTCAGTGCAGAATCTCCGGATCGTTCAGAAGAAACAATAATGAAATTGTTCAAACAAACAATCGTCGTACACGAAATCCTTTTTCACGATGGACGGAAGGTTCGCTAAAACAGGTCACAACAACCGAATACGTTGCGAGGTCCCAGGTGGGTCCGTTCCGATTTCAGGTGTCGATTCTAATACTGAGTCTAGATCCAATTAACAGTCAGAGAGACACATGATGAACCTAAGGAGAAGTACAACTGATAACAGATGTTCGGATTCTCATTTAAGCTGTGGAGGATATGGTATTTGTACTAATTGATAATTCGTTTGTACTTGATTGTCCGCTGATTGCGAATTCCAAACACAATACGTTCATTTTAGTTCATCCAGTTCTACCTGCCTTCAAATGCAGCATTTCGGAAATCCCTAGTAAGTACATGAATTCGGATACTCCTAATTATTATATGCACGTAACTCTGGATTACACTTGTTGAAGTCCCTTTTATTGTTCTCGGGATTGATGATCTTATGATTCACGAGGTGCAGGCTTTCTATCCCTCAGGTACTTTTCGAGCACCTATTTTAAGTATCGGTTTAACCATATTTTCGTTCAAGGCTTTTGGTTTTATGTATCATGTTCAATTCTAATTGAGGTGAATCAATCCTCAAAATAGGTTGTTTCTTATGTTTTCGACATTGATGCTGCATATAATAGCTGGAAGAGGTTGATAATGCATCCGCACCAGATCACGATTAAGCACACCATGATACTCGCTCTTCTCGATAACTAGTCCATTTCCGATTACGAAGGTGCTAAGAACAAAACCGTTATTGAAACCTAAATGCGAGTGACATTTTTATGTTTGAACAAATAATCCATGTTTGATTAACGACTTGTGAGCTCTAGGTTGTTCATTTTAACGAGCTTGATTTGACTGAGAAAGTAGTTGAAATTCATTGAACATTTCTTTTAGTGCGCACTCGATATTTTTTCCTGTAATGAGACAATAAGTATCATGGTAGTTCGCAAAGTAATATATATAGCATGTAGTCAGGTAAAACCACAATAGTTTTCGAACTAATGGACTAGATCATACCTACCACAAAACGCTACAGTATCACAATAATGCAATAATACGTAAACATTTGACTATTTCAGCAACACTTACTGATTATCTGAAAACTATCTTCGAAACGACTCAATCTGGTCACGAATACATATACATTAAGATGTCACCTGTCCATTGTTAACCTGCAGGTACTGTAGATGGCACCGAGTCGCGATTGACTATGATCCCCACTATAGATTACGTGCCAGATATTAGGTTGGATCCATCAGTAGGCCAAAAACCAGAAGCTTGTTAATGGTTGCAATAAGATATACTTGTTGGTGATCTCGCGATATGGAAAGAATACCAAGACGTGCCAAACTTTACAAGCGAACTGCTGAGCATAAGCGAGTTCGTGCAAGGTCACAGGCAACAGAAGGAAAAGCACTATTAGCTATAGTAATAATTGTTCTCATTATACCAATCGCGTTCTCTTCACAAAAGTAGGTCACCAGAGTACGTTGAAAATTCGTTTCTCTTTTTGTCATCTGGTGGTTTAGGTGGTGCGTATTTTCTGCCACATTTCTTGGAATGATTTTAAAAGATGAGAATATTTAATCGTACGATGACGTGTAACATCACAAAGCTTTAAAATTCTAGAAAAACCATATACAAGCCAAATTCGTGAACCCGAGTTGTTGCCACCTGCTATAAAATGTGAAAAAAATTTATCAGTTTACTTTATGTTCGATAATGAAATTAATCTTTAAAGCACAACTTAAACTGTAAATACCCAGAAAAGATTCAACGGTACACAACTGATTCTCATATTGATCTTCTTTCCGTAATGTCCCGTTCTTCGTTTTATTTTACTCGTAAATCATTTCAAGTTCATTTTTTTCATTTCCTCACATTTTTTCTAATCATTTTCTATGCAATGTCCAGAACATGACCAACTGGCTGCACCCTGATAATTTGAGAGGAATCAGCGGGAAAAACCTTATTCCACTGAAACAAACACACTCGCCCACCCTCCAGAAACACTAATTGTCCATCTAAATCCCTAATCTTAACTATTCTGTGACCAGCATATATTGTAACCTTTAGTGAACAATCAGTTCAATTAGTTATCTACTGACTGTCGTGGAGGCTAAAGTGAATGTACAGCTGTTCTCTCAAACTCATTATAGATGTCTGGTCTACAATAGCTTGCTACAAAAAGTTTCATGTAAGTGTACTTGATCGACGGAATATGCAAACTAGCTGATTAACATTTAGACATTTACACACCTTATTCTATAAGGACTCACTTTTGTGGTGGACCAAGAATATATCAGTTCTAAAAATAATGGTAAAGTTATTACGTCCAAAAATTAATGCATTAAATATAATCTGTACACACAAGAAAAGCATACTGGACGTTACGGAAATTGTCAGGAATCGGTGTAATAATCAACAATTATAAGTAGTTATTAATTCAAAACACAATTGTTGTACTTCGAGGTGTATATTCAAGTAAAACATATAATGAAGATATCACAGTGATCACTAAACATAGATAGCAAATACATAAGAGATCTGTTTTCATAACAACAGATAATTGAGAATAAGAAACATGTGTGCAGCAATGTATTTGTGAGCAGCATTCAGTGTGTCATGCTATGAAGAATTCAAAATGAATACTGAAAAATTCAACGTCATGCCATTTTAAACAACTTTTACAGTCCCTCATAATAAATATACTAATTATGAGAATTAATGGAAGTAATGCAGATCTTAGGAATCGCTAGTTATAAAATAAGTCTGTCGTCACTATTTCCACACTCTGTAAGGTCCAGAGAAGTTGATATACAATTGTAGTCGGATACTGACTTTTGATTAGATACTAATATAGGAACTAAGTGCACAGTATAAGTCTTAAGCTGCTAGTCTTCAAGATCGCCCATACAAGGTCAGAAAAATAAAATGAAATATATTACTTCATTGCTTAGAAGACAGATATAAAATAATTTCAAAAAAATTCGATCGATTAATAACTGTATCCGGGATTTCGCTTGAAATAGCCAGATTGTTAGTGAATATCAAAACCATGCTTGTTTTACTACTTCAATTTACTCAACTCTCCAAATGACTTCTTTTAAAAGGTCGACAGTTTGATAAGTTTGATATGTTTGGTTTCTGTAAGTTCCACTTATATGGGTGTTGTGTGACAAACTGTCTTGGTCGACAATATTCTACAAATAAGAAATTAGTCGGCATTCTTTAAATCCTTGTTGATAGGCTTGAAGTCGCTTTTTCTAGTACCAGCTTGTGCTGTACATTTTTGGTATATGGGACCTATCGTACCCGAACAGTATTCCAGCACTCACACATATCGAATGATTTATGTAGCGCATGTCCATTTGGTGCCCCCTGGTGCCGATGTTTATGCGTCTAAAAATTAAATAAGACGTGGATTACCTTTTCTTGGTATCCAGGTGCTGTGGCTGTTTTGATGACTGTATAGAATAAACATGAAGAAATGTATCAGCAAAAATAGGTTAGAGAAACATGCGATCACTGTTTCATGGGCCAGTTCCTGGTGTGGAGTTGATCAGTCCACGTTAGTCACTTTTGACCTTGATGCTCGACAGATTAACGACCAGTGATGTTGTCCAACATAAAAATGGTCCAGCATAACCATTGATTTGTTCAGGGTTCATTTAAGTTCCACTGTCTCTATGGGAGGATCAGAAAAACCTATCAACACATTAGTTCTTTTCCGCTTATTCCGTGTCAATATATCCGCTTTTATATGAGGACTGTCCTTGAATATCATATTCCAAATGCAGTCTAACATACCTTGATTGCAATCTCCTGAACATATCTTCATCCAAGTCATGATCTCTTCATATAACACCTCCCTGTGGGGAACTACAATACAACTTTTCGTGTATATGGCACTTTTTTCTTAGTGATCGGTATCACACAACTCTCCTAAGGCTAATCTTTTCTGTTTAGCATGTGTCCAATATATATCGCCTATCCTGAGTTTGGTCAGGTTGTATGCTCTCACTTTTGTGGCCCTTATAATGACTCTACCTGATATCACACTCTTCGGACATTTCATGTTCGTATGTTTATTGTTTTTTTTTTCAAAAAGGGACCAGCTTCGTGGCATTTGCAGATTTTCGGCTTTCGCCATAAGACAACAATTCTTCTGTAAAAAGATCTTTAAACTCCCGGGACGGAGTTTAATTGGAGTTTTCTGATTAATGACTTTACGGTCGTGCTCTTTTCACGAGGTGGGATTGCTAACCGCATCTTTGACCCTTTCCCTACCCCGGCTTGGAACCTGCTGTGACACCAGAGGAACTCCAATAAAAGTTTTGGTATCATATAGGTCGAGTTTCACCCCTTGAATATATTCTCATTCAAGTTAAGAACGGCTCTATGAATTATCGTCGGTTCCTGGTAGTTTTTTAAAGGCCGCTTCATAGTTACTCGGGGTTCTGAGGTCACTACATACTACGATTTCTAAATATTTATAATCGACAACCCTAATTAAAGGCATTCCATTGCTTCTTGTAGTCGTGTTATTTTACACTGACTGATTTTCATTACTACACTCTTGCTATAAGTAACTTCTGAAGCCAGCCGTTATGTACAATCAACTGGAGCATTCAGACTTTTCTGTAATCTTATCAACTTTGTTGTTCTTAGGTATCCACACTTTAATTTCATTCACAATCATACTAATAACAGTTCTACTTTGGATAAATCATTTAAAAAAGAAAAGGGCTCAAAATTATCCCTTGGAGAACTTCACTCTTAACAGATTCTCACTGTAATAAAGCGTCTCGTCTGCTATCATTAGTGCAATTTGTAACTCTATATCCATGTTAAAGCCCTCCAGTTTTATTACAATACACGGATGAGAGACCTTATTAAAGATCTTTCTGTGTTTCTTAACCTCTGTAGTGGACAGCTGGTAGATTTATGCTATTTATCCATAATTTAGAGGGGAAGGTTTGCAGAGCTAAATGTACTTTTAAACTTACACCATGTTTCTTCTCTTGGGGAGTTGGCGCCAACCGACCAATTAGTTGCTTCAGATTTATATATTGGTGCAAGGGGGCACAAGATATATGGCTTCTGAACTTTCCCCAGTTTTCAAAATGTTTGCCTACCACACATTCGGGTAAGGTTGAACTTGATTATATACTGTCATAGACTCTAAAACTCCGTGGCAAAACCTCATGATAACTGTTAGTTAGTGATGGTAAAACATAAACGGGTAATATCTCCAGTTTCATACATGAATACTAAGTATTACAAATAAGGTCCTTGATTTGAGCCAACAACTGTGGATCTGGATACATGTAGTACTAAACCATGATCTAATGTTCATAAGAGGCTAACTATGGGATATATTATCGGATCCACTAATTGACAGATATTTCTTATTTACATTGCGAGCATTAAAATGTACTGCTACCAGGCAGATTAAGCCACATTAAATAACACCTGGCATAGATGTACAATCTTCTAAAGTTCACAAATGACTACTTCTCAAGTCACGCTTTCATGAGACTCACAAACTAAGAAATTTATTTGTATACTGTCTTTTATGTTTATCAGTACCCCGACCACTTCTTCACTTCTTCTCAACAATTTCGGAGTAATGTCAAGTTCATGTATTTACAAATTTTTTTGTCACAGCTATTATAAATGGTTTTAATTCATCCTCCTTCGGTCCATGAAGCTTAGTTCCTAGACTACGAGTGTTGTTGTACAAAACTCCCAAAGAGAATGACTTATCAACATTCGTTTCCGAAACATTACTCCTGGAAAACCCATCGGTCGGTATTTTTCACTTTCGCCTCCGGGATGCTAGTTCAGCTAGAGCTGTATTTCTTTTGATTCTATCTTCCCGTGTTATCAGGCCCTACCTGAATGTTGGTATTATCTTCCTATCGAACATTAGTTAGCAGGAGATTTCTTTGTTACAAGACTGGCAGGAGCTTGTACATGCAATATTCCTTTTGTAATGAGCTGTTAAGAGTGGTCGTAGAGTTTGCGTACCTGGTTAGTTGTGTGCGCTGTTGATGATACGAGTGGTGAGATCAACCCATGTGTAGTGAAAGCCAGTGCGGTGCATCTTTGACGCCTTCGGTGTCGAGTTGTACCGGCACCTATGTGTTCCAAATAACAAAGAGACAAACATTTTTCCTTCAATCCTAAAGTTAACTTAAGAAGTCTACATGACCGTGGACCGATATTCTCACTTTTCTTCTTACTTATTTCCGTTTGCTTTTTGACATGAACTACATCAGTTATTTGGCAGTACGCTAATAATAAGAATGTCTGATTTTTGGATCGGGTTATCTTAATTCTCTGAAATTCTTACAGTAGCATTGGAGGCACTTTGAGTATTCACTCTGCTTTAAGTTGTTTTATAGTCTTACGACTGGGTTTCACCAAAGAATTCTGTCACTCAATATCCTGTAACTCAGAATGCCAACATCTTAGGGAGTTCTTATCAACTTGAGGTGACGGGGTGTTTGTGGATGCCATCCATCCTTTCTCCGTTCTCAAATACAACACCGAGAACACCAACCCAGTTACACTCGATGGAGAAACTCTGGAAGATGTAGAAACATTCACGTACCTGGGAAGCATCATCGATGAATAAGGAGGATCTGATGCAGATGTTGAATAGTTTCTGTTGATTTATTTAAGCATGTAATAACTGATTAATGAGATCCACTATCACTCGTTCGCCTTATTTTTGCCGCCTTATGAAAATACGGTACGTGACTGTAACTTTTAATTTGATATAGTGGTTGGGCTTGATTATCGTTATTCAATGGAAACGACTTCAGCAAAGTACTCATGCGTCGGAGGTCTGTCGTGGCAGACTGGTCGGTTAACTAGTAGTAGGACTAGAATAGACAAATTTGAGGTTTAATGATGACGTCTGTCTTTCTATAGATAACAAGAAAGTTTAAAAATACCCTTTCCTTGTGTTTGATATGATTAGGGACGTATGAACCTTAAATTGAGCAAATAAGTACCCATATACCACCTTTTATGACCGACTTCAAGCTGTTTTATTTTGGGCTGTACAGTTTTGATAATGTAACCACTACTGCTAATTGCGTTTTCTTTTTCAAAATCCTTAGTAAAAATTATATTATAATGTAGACAACGTTAAACTAGCAGTTGAATACTAAGATCTACAAATAATTGCAGAAAGTGATTTTAAAACGCGCGTAGACAGGCTGAGTCAAGCTAAAACACGGGTCGAATATTTAGCGTCCAGGCCTAGTTATTAGGTGACTGTTATCATCTGCTTCAATTATACAATCATTTGTTCTTATCAAGTACCAACTTCAAACATGAGAAGCATATAGTTTGATTTGAGAGCTCTGTGAATCGAATCAATGCTAGACACAAACCATATCTTTGCCATCTTTTATTAAGTAAAATCCTTTCACAATTTCACTCGCTTTCGTGAAACCTACTTTTTTATAATAATAAAACAATGCACTTGTAACGGCCTAATAAATATAATTTCTTACTTTTCACGGCTAAGTATAGGTTATTTCTTTATGGAGTAAAGTGATCGCGAAATACCAGAAGTTCAGTTCTCTAATCATTAAAATATTACTGAAGTTTTTTACTTACTTACTTACTTTCGCCTGTTACTCCCAATGGAGCATAGGCCGCCGACCAGCTTTCTCCAACCCACTCTGTCCTGGGCCTTCTTTTCTAGTTCTTTCCAGTTCTTGTTCATTCTTCTCATGTCTGTCTCTATTTCTCGGCGTAATGTGTTCTTTGGTCTTCCTCTTCTCCTTCGACCTTCAGGATTCCATGTGAGGGCTTGTCTTGTAACACAATTGGGTGATTTCCTCAAAGTGTGCCCAATCCACTTCCAGCGCTTCTTCCTGATTTCTTCCTCCGCTGGAATCTGGTTTGTTGTCTCCCACAGTAACTTGTTGCTGATAGTGTCTGGCCATCGGATCCGAAGTATCTTGCGTAGACAGCTGTTAATAAACACTTGTATCTTCTGGATAATGGCTTTCGTAGTTCTCCACGTCTCTGCCCCATACAGAAGAACTGTCTTGACATTTGTATTGAAAATTCTAACCTTGGTGTTGGTTGACAATTGTTTTGAGCTCCAGATGTTTTTCAGCTGTAGGTATGCTGCTCTTGCTTTGCCGATCCGCGCCCTCACACCTGCAGCTGATCCACCGTGTTCATCAATGATGCTGCCCAGATATGTAAACGTTTCCACATCCTCCAAAGCTTCTCCGTCAAGTGTAATTGGATTGGTGCATATTGTATTGTATCGGAGAGTCTTGCTTTTCCCTTTGTTTAAATTGAGACCTACTGCTGCTGAGGCTGCTGCTACATTGGTCGTTTTCTCCTGCATTTGTTGTTGCGTTTGTGATAGAAGAGCCAGATCATCCGCGAAGTCTAAATCGTCAAGCTGCATCCTGCCTGTCCACTGTATCCCGTGCATTCCTCCAGATGTTGACGTCTTCATAATCCAGTCGATCACCAGGAGAAAGAGAAAGGGTGAGAGTAAGCAACCTTGCCTAACACCGGTCTTTACCTCGAACGAGTCGGTGAGTTGTCCTCCGTGGACGATTTGGCAGTTTATTCCATCATAGGAGTTCCGTATGATGTTGACTATCTTCTCAGGCACGCCGTAGTGTCGAAGAAGCTTCCATAGTGTCGTCCTGTCCACGCTATCAAATGCCTTCTCGTTGTCGATGAAGTTGATGTACAGTGATGAATTCCATTCGATTGATTGTTCCACAATGATACGTAGAGTTGCGATTTGATCTGTGCACGATCTATCCTTACGAAATTCAGCTTGTTGATCTCGAAGTTGAGCGTCCACGGAATCCTTCATCCTGTTTAACAATACTCTGTTGAAGACTTTTCCTGGTATTGAGAGGAGAGTGATGCCCCTGTAGTTGTCGCACTTGCTGAGATCGCCTTTCTTTGGTATTTTGATGAGAAGTCCTTCTTTCCAGTCTGTTGGTACATGTTCTTCGTCCCAAATCTTACCGAAGAGGATGTGGAGTATCTTGGCAGTTGCTGTTACATTTGCTTTCAGTGCCTCTGCCGGGATGTTGTCTGGTCCCGCTGCTTTGCCACTCTTGATTTGTCTAATGGCCGTGCTGATCTCTTCAATTGTTGGTGGGTCAATATCGATTGGGAGGTCTGTGGGTGCTGCTTCGATGTTGGGTGGGTTCAGTGGAGTTGGTCGATTCAAGAGTTCCTTGAAGTGTTCTACCCACCTGTTTCGTTGTTCTTCAATATCGTTGATTACTTTGCCTTCCTTGTTTATCACTGGTCTTTCTGGTTGACGGTAATTTCCAGCAAGTTTCTTTGTTGTATCATACAGTTGTCTCATGTTTCCCTCTCTTGCAGCCTTTTCCGCTGTCATCGCTAAATCTTCCACATATTTACGTTTGTCGGTCCTGATGCTCCTCTTCACTTGCTTGTTTGCCTCTGTGTATTCGGCTTGTGCCTTGGCTTTTTCTGCTCTTGTTCGGCTGATATTGATTGCTACCTTCTTGTTCCTCCTTGCTTCATTTTTATCCAGTGTACCAACAGTGATCCATTCCTTGTGATGGTGCTTCTTTTGGCCCAGAACCTCCTGACATGTTGAAACGATTGCCTCCTTGATACCTTTCCAGCTGCTCTCTATGGTGGTTCCCTCTCCATTGAGTAGGTCATGAAAGGCCTCGAACCTGTTACTGAGGGCTATGTTGAATTTGTTGAGTTTGTCAGCATCTCGAAGAAAGGCCGTGTTAAACTTTTGTGATGTTGTCCGCGCCATTGTCCAGTGCTTCTTGAGTTTTAGTTTCATCTTGGCGACCAGCAAATGGTGATCGGATGCTATATCAGCTCCTCTTCTGGTTCTCACATCCTCCATCGTCCTCCTGAACTTTTTGTTGATGCAGACATGGTCGATTTGATTTTGTGTAGTGTGATCCGGTGAAATCCAAGTGGCTTTGTGTATGTTTTTGTGTGGGAATATGGTGCCACCTATGACCAGTTTATTGAAGGCACATAGGTTTGCAAATCTCTCACCGTTTTCGTTCCTTTCTCCCAGTCCATGTTGTCCCATGACGTCTTCGTATCCAGTGTTGTCCTTTCCAACCTTGGCATTGAAATCTCCCATCAGAATGGTCAGGTCCTTGGTTGGGCACTTCTCGAAGATTGACTGCAGCCTATCGTAGAATTGGTTTTTAGCGTCTTCATCGTAGTCGTTGGTCGGCGCATAGCATTGGATGATGTTCATTGTAACGCCCTCTCTCTTTGTTTTGAAGGAGGCTTTGATGATCCTTGGTCCATGAGATTCCCATCCAATAAGTGCATTTCGTGCTTCTTTGGACAGCATCAATGCAACTCCTTGTGTATGTGGGGCATTTTCTTCTTCATGACCGGAGTATAACAGAAGTTCTCCTGAAGACAGTCGTTGTTGTCCAACCTGCGTCCAATGCGTTTCACTGATTCCAAGCACCTCCAGGTTGTATTTTCTCATTTCTGCAGCAATTTGGAAGACTCTTCCGGTCTCCCACATTGTTCTGACATTCCATGTACCTATAAAAATTGTTGCTCTGGTTGTAAGAAGGTGCATCGGCCTCATGACTTCCGAAGGAACTTGGCTTTCATCATGAGACGTCATAATTATTCGTTCTACTCCCAGGGCAGAGTTTGAATGGTTTGAATGATTTTTTCTGGTTAGCGTTTTTTTAGCGAGTTGATTTCCTACGGGATGGGGTCGCTAACCCCATGCCCAACCCTCCTCCCTTACCCGTGCTTGGGACCGGCAGTAGCCCCTGGAGGAGTTACAGGCGGAGTTACTGAAGTTTTTTATCACAATAATATTATTTTATTATCACAGTATTATGAGAAAAACCGCTCAATTTATTTATAATTTTACTTCACTTATGTTCATTTTTCGACAGTCATTTTTATTGTTGTTCCGTCTCCTGTTTCTTTCTTACTAATTTCTCTTACATACAGTATTAGACAAGATCTTCAGAAAAAACATCGCTCAGCTAGCCCTTTTCTTTCCTTTGTCGCCCTCCAAAAATATGCTCGTTTTTCTAGTTAACTAATTATCTAGAGCTTTCTGAAATATTATCTACTTCATATTACATTGCTTGTTCTACTACATAAATCTTGTTTCACAAGCTTTTTTGTTGCTTTCCGACTTCATTAAAATTAAGGTATTGTGTATTCTATTTTGTTTTTAGATGAAAAGCCAAATTACCCTGATATATATATAAAAATACATGAACCAAGTCCGGGTGGTTCTTTTTTCAGTAGCTATTTAAATCAGCAGTCTGTCATTGCTGATCCGAAGGTAAATTAGTGTTTGTTGTGCATAAAAATGCATGTAGTTATTAGTCGTAATTAAATGCTTTTGTACCATTTTTATCAAGAGCAGTAATTATGTGGGACTCTTTAAAGTTATGAGGAATAATTTTTTCTTATGTTGTTTGGATTGAGTAACATCGTAAAACCGATCTCCTCGCATTTGCCCGTATTTATTATCGCCCCATCATAAATGTTTTATGATACACCATGCTAGCTAGTAATCTTAATGATGTTCAATACATACTAATTTACAATTAGTATAGTGATAACACGAAATCGATAATCATCTCACTGTTCAAAAATTGTGATGTTTTCTGAAGTGTCAGTTCAATAATAGTATTATGTATGCCCTCCAAGGGCAGGAAATCTTGGGAGTATATATATACTAAGAATAACTATTACGTCAAAATAGGATTTACTACGTCTTTACACTACTTAAATACCTAGGAGACTTGAATGGACTTCCATTCAAGCAACTTGTATCATTTCTAAATGATTTGTCATTTTCATAATATGGACATTTAAGATTCTATTACTAGACAATGGATAAATTAATGTATGATGAATTCCATGAGCATAATATTTTGTAAAGTGTTTTCGGGCGTTAACTAGACGTATTCACCCAAACAATAGTATGATTTGCTGAAGTTCCATAAGTATCTCTGACATTTAAACAGACATGTTAATAACGTTAATCAAGGCATTAGTTAAACTTTAGGAATTGGACATTATTATACATGTCTCTAGTAAATAAGAGTTGTGTTGTTTTTATGCTTTACAACTCCACTTTGAATTCGAGTAAATAGTTGGCTAAGTGATGTGACTAGATATTTTTGACTCCCGAAGTTCGGTTGATTTTTAACCGTTACTAAAGAGCATAGGAAATAGAACAAGAAAGGCACAAAATTTTTCAGGTAAATATGCCGGACTTTTTAACGAACTAATCAATAATGTTTTCCCGTGGTTTACTACCGATCAGTTTTCTGATAATACATGTAGGGTAAGCACTTTGTTAGTTCATAAATTGTGGTGCTTTTGATAAAATCTGTTCGGTTCTTTTTAATTTTTATGTTTCCGCTTCTTTTGATTTTGGCCTACTGAAGTTAGATTTCATTTTCTCTGCCTGTAGACTGGCGCACGCCAGAGTAGCATGGTTTTGACCGATAATGAATATTCAGAAGTCAAAACAATGATGGATTTATTCCATAGAGGGTTATCTTTATCCCGTAAGTTTTTTCTTTTGTGAACCGATACCAAGTAAGTTACTTTTCAACTTCTCTTGACTACGGTTTATATTTATCAGTTAATTTATTTATGATCAGTTAGTCCGAATACATTGGTACGTGTTTCAGTGTCACCAGTCACTGGATAGTACTCATTTCTCAACCATCTGTGAAAGTATTAACTAACTAAACACCGAATAATCCGGGAAATTCATTTAATCAGTTGTGTAACTCATTTACTAAGTACAAGTGTGTACTCGCTGTTAAACGTTATTGTTTTCCTAAGGGTTAGTGATATTACCATTTTGCTCACATCAAAATAGGTAGAGTGCCATTTGAAGTTGCAACTTTTTAGTTGAAAGTTGAGCACGTTTTCCACTTAGCCATTCGTTACAAAGGACTACTAGTGATGTAAGTGTGAAAACGATATATGATGACTACGTATGTTAGTACAAAATGATTTTGTCATAAAAAATGGATTACAAAACTGTTGTGACTTTTGCCCGTTAAATATCACGCGACTTATTCGCCAATCAGAATACGACTTATACAGTCTTAACACTGTACCACAAAAATAACGTATGGACGGGTATGAGCAGCCTGGCATCCTTATTGGTCCTTTTTCTGCCTAGCCCTACCTGTTGAGTCAAGAACTCCAATGAAAGCTTCCACTGTAAGAATCATTTATTTCAGACATATCTGGTTTATATACAGGCCAAACAGACCACACCACACCATAAGATAGGAAATAACTTTAGTAAGAAATCAAGTCGAAAAGTGGCTGTGATTGTGGGAGACAGTAGTCAATAAACTGGGCATAACTTTGGAGTAGTAAATCGTATAATAATAGTCTATAGGTTAAAATAAAGCTTGAAATAAGAGGAATATAAATATACATAATCTAGTTACTGAATAGTTATACAATAAGAATATATGTATAATATTAGTCCATAAATAGCTCTCAGAAGTTATCCTTAATTTCATCTTCGCTAGGATATAACAAAACTACTCTCCATAAATTTCTAAAAGTACTAACTGTTATGTTATAACGTATCATGAAATTAAAACACTGAGTTTGTCAGATGGAATTCTAACATTCGCTTTATAGACATGACACATTTTCTAATAAGGGTAACTGTGAGGATTTAACTTGAATGATTTATTAGCTGTTATATTAAATAATAATACACTATTGTTGAGTTATATAGGTAGCCAGATAAACGCGTAGTGGAAGGTCAGGAGATTTTGATAATCGTTTGTTTCTAGCAGAATTCTAGCAAATCCAATGGTGAACGAAATTAAATCAATTATACCGATTTTAACCATTATTTGTAGTTAATGTAATCGTCGACTTATAATTTGTATTGATTGGTTTAATATTTTCATATAAATATTCATGTATAATAAACGGGCATGACAATCTAATTGAAAACAATGTCGTTCACTTATATCTGTGTTGCTCGAATTACATCGATTTGTATAATTTTGCTTTCCCCCCCACCCCGTAGTCTTATTTTACCACTTTCCGTATACATCCATATATTCAAAACACAAATATTCGATTGGACGATTGTTTTCAATAACTGCATGTGTTATTTTACAATTTCCAAAATAGGGCATGGTAGTGAATTAAACAGCGTTGTATGCTTAAAAACCCCAACTTTTGCATATGTTACGGCATAAATACTTCAAAATTGTGTCATTTGTAAGTTAGAAAGGTCTCTTACTGAAGGTTAGATTGATTCGTTATAAAGTGTCAAATTACAATTTATATAATAAAACAAATCCTGTGAATGAAATGGATTGTAGGAGAACTTTGTCTCGATAATGGAGATAATAATAATAATGTCGTGTGAATATAGTATATGCTAAGGGGGGTTCTGTCAAGGTAATTGTGATGTGAGAGAATCGGGGAGGATGAATATAGATTAATAAGGCAGGGTAGGTATAAACACAAAAGAAATTAGTGGAGGTTAGATAAGGGGTTTATAATATCTAGTTCATGCATATGGTGACCACCTCATAGAACAAGGTAAACATAAAGGTTAAATCTCTTTTGGATACATAGGTTAGTCTTCTGAAGTTGATCTCGATGGTTTCAGCTCTGTAGAAAAGTTATAATCTTGCACAAATATTCTTCGTTTTTGAATATTCTGTGGGGATTTTTAAAATGCTGATATCCATGTGTGTTCAAGAATTTTTTAGATAAACTAGTTTTGCTTGTGAACTAAAAATGATGTCTATTACACTTTTTTTCGTCTTCAGGTACAAGAAAGTGTTTAGGTAGCAGATATACTACTAATGAGCCATATTCATGGATTACTTATCAAGAAGTTTCTAAAAATACCATCTAATACTTTATACTTTTCAAGGTTGATGAAAAAATTCAGGCTTTTGGATCAGCGCTCGTTGAAATCATGACTAGGTATCCAGAATCAGAACGGTTTGTAGGTGTTTATGGCCGAAATTCACCACAGGTGTGCAAATTATCTTAATTTAAGAAATTTTCGTTTTGAATCACTTTTGCACTGTTGTTTTAAATCTGGGTTATTGATCTGTGGGCTAGAATGTTAGTGATCGGTTGTTTGCATGGTCAGACTTGTAGATAGTATGATAGGCGTTAGATGACTTATATATTCTCAGTCAGTCAGTCAGTCAGCTACGGTATAGGACCAGATACATATATTCATCGGTCCAAGTTGCCATACTTCGTTAGGACAACACGATGAACACCGAATTCATCGAAGTAGTTAATTTAATGGTGGAAATATATGGAAGATTGTATATAAGGATATAGAACAGAAAGAAAGAAAGATATGAAGCAATTTTAATCTCACAGTTTAAGGGAAAACAGGGAGTGTATATACCTACGCCATTGTGATCGATTCTGAGCCATGTCACACAGAGTCTCCAACCATTGGTTATGATAGTCAGACAGACCCCAACCAAGTAGTCTGCATCTACCAACAAGGCTCAAACCAGAAGTTAGTGACTTCAAGCACTGATGCCATGTTTTGGTTTGGCCGCCCCTAACTCTTTTCCAACCATCCCCTACACTAGTCAGCATTGCGCGTCGTGGTAATCGGTGTTCAGGCATCCGTAACACGTGGCCCAACCATCTCATTCGATGAAGATTCATAACCTCATCAACTGATTTACCATCATTCCCTAATACCCTGTGTCTAACCCCACTATTACTTACCCGGTGATCCCAGCAGATGTGAGCATTATTTCTAAGACATCTGTGGTCAAATACTATTAGTTTACGAGTACCTTCTACTGTTAATGGCCACGTTTCACAGCTGTAAAGTAGAACAGACCGAACTGTTGTGCAGTATACTCGTCCCTTAATTGATAGACGGATATCTTGCCTTCGCCATAGGTGACGTAAGTTAGCAAAAACCAAACGGGCTTTCTGAATCCATGCAGAGATTTCGTCAGACACCAACCCATTAGAGCTGGTCAGACTTCCAAGGTAAGTGAAGATGTTGACGCGTTCGACTGCTTCACACCTTATCCTTAGTTCAGACGTTGACGCAGGCCAGTCCTGGAGTAACAATTTACATTTAGATGGGGAGAAACGCATCCCAAACATCCTGGCATTATTACTCAGTTATAACAAAAGACTGCATTTTGTCAGCGTCTTCACCAAACGGGACTATGTCATCTGCGTATTCTAAGCCGATAAGTGGACCTAGTGGTTTGAGATCAATTCCTGAAAATTCAGTCGACGAGAGCGTTATTTCCAGCAGTAGGTCTATGTTGAAATTAAACAGAAATGGAGATAGTGGATAGCCTTGTCGGACACCACTTGAGGTTGCAAAATTAGATGACAGTTCACCAGAAACTCTGACTGGATTGGCAGTTTTCGTGTAAAGAGCCTTCACAAGGTTAATGTACTTCTGAGGTACACTTTTCAATGACACACTGCCACATGACCTCTCGGTCTACAGAGTCAAATGATGCTTTTAAGTCAAGAACAACTATTATTGTCTGACTCCGATAAGCATGCATGTGTTCTAAAACCTGACAAATAGTGAATATGTTATCAATGCAGCCATGGCCAGGTTTGAAGTTGGCCTGATTTTCTCGTGTTTGCAGTTCACGAGTCTTTGTTAGGCGCCCGATAATTACTGAAGCTAGTATTTTAGATGCTATATTAGTCAAACTATTCCCTCTATGGTTGTCACAGGACCCCTTCTTATATATTGGGACGATCAGTGATTGTGACCGGTCAGATGGGATGACGTCCAACTCCCAGATTTTAGCTAAAATATTAGCCAACCTAATCGCTAAAATTGGACCACCATCCTTAAAAACATCTGAAGCCAATCCGTCTGAACCAGCTGCTCTTCCTCGCCTCAGATTAGCTATAGCCTTTTGAACTTCAAATAGATTCAGGGGACCTACTTCAATATTCCATTCAGACTGTTTGAGAATGGTGGGTAACTTTAGAGTAGCTGAAGGCCAGTTGAACTTTTCTCTAAAGTGTTCCGTTCATCGTTCTGAACGTCTGGACTGAGAGCAGATAAGAGTCTCGTCTTTTTCCGAGATTGTCTCGCTTACACTTGACTTCTTAATGCCGGTTTCTTTTAATAGTCTGAAGAGTCGTCTGGTATTGTCTACAGCCACTGTATTTTCCATTTCTTTTGCTTTCGTTGCCCACCACTGCTCACGATCGTCCCGTAGACTTTTGGCTAACCTAGATCTGATTTGTTCACGCTCTTCACCATGTTCAGAGCCTGATGGGATGAGTCTACGAGAATCCATCAGTGCGATAGACTTAGAGGAAATCTACTGGTTTTTCGTAACCTTTTAGTTTAAATTACTAATAGATGTTGCTGTTGTTTCCACAGCTGTTCGTATATCTTTCCAAGCAACATCTAAGTTAGCCTCGTTTTCAGAACTGTCTAAATGTGAACTCAGTTGATCTTGAATACAAAATTACCCACCTAAATGTCTTCCTGTTTGGTTTACGCTACCTACTTGGGCATTAAAGTCACCTGCAACGAGTAGTATGTCTGAGCGGTTAACTTTCTAAAGAAGTTCATAGAGCTTCCTGTAAAAGCCATCTTTTACTTCATCCTGACCTGAGAGCGTGACCGCAGTGCTCAAGGGACAACTGCTTGAGGTCGGTCACACACGACCTTTTTGTGGGTAATTTTTGTGTTAGCTCCGTACTTGTTGGGACCTTACCGCCGGAGACAGATATCTGTCTTATAAGTCGAAGTGTGCATTTTTAGGGTCGAACTTTTTAATCCCACCCTTGCTTTGTGGGAAGGCCGCATCGCTGTTATTCTGGTTGTCTGAAGGAAACACCTTACTGCTGCCACACCTCTTTACAGTCAGCAGTACGACTTCGCCTTCGGACTTCGGGTTTGCGGCTTTTAATCTTACCGCTCTTCAACCGACCTGCCTGGCATGGTAGGACCTTGAGGAATGATTGTTCCAGTCAGTATAGCTCGATTGGTTCATCACGATAGGCAAACCCGACCACCACGTCAATATAGCAACAACGGTCGTGTTATGTATTCTCCTATTCTTATTATTATTGTCCTTTTTTAGTGTGGAAATATATTTACGCTCTAGTCAGGCGAACAACGTTTTCTTGGTCGGAGTTGTTGAAGTCCTGTAGAATAGATAATGGGATGGATTCGATTGTAGATATTCGTCTAAGGTTAATTGACGACCCATTCGTGTAGACGCAGTTACAAAACTAATAGAATGGTTTTTGTTGAGTAAGAATGCGGTCACAACTCCAAGCTAATTAGTGTCTGTCATTACCTTCAATAATCCAACAGTATTATCGTTCATGATTAATATCACGACATAAGGTCTCAGATTTTTAATAATTTAACTGTAATCAGTTATGTCCGTGTACCGAGTCCTCTTTGGTAAAAATTATGACTAAGGAAAATGCTGGACATCTATTTTCAGTCAATCAACTAATTTTTAAAGACTTGAATCTCTTTGGGTTATTCTCCATCAGACTACACATTTTCTACTCCATATGAACGAGAAGTTTGGTCTGTAGTTCATTCTCTCGCCTTATAATAGTGTCATTTCCCCACTAATTTTACAGTAGCTTGGCTATATAACCTAGATTGCCTTTTTAGCTATTCGTGGGTTGCTGCCAGTCTCAAACCAGAGTAAAGGAGGAGGGCTTGACATTGGGTCAGCACCCCAACCCGTAGAAAACAACTTTGCTAGAAAAAACGCTAACCAGAATAAACATTGAACCATTTAAACTCTGCCCTGGGAGTTTAAGGATCTTTCCTTAGAAGGTTTATGACAACAACAACCAGAGCAACAATTAACATAGGCAAATGGAATGTTCGGACAATGTGGTAGACCAGGAGCACCAGTCAAATAGCTGTGAAAATGAGTAGACACAGCTTAGAGATGTTCAGAATAAATGAAACCCATTGGACACAAGCTGAACAGAAAAGATTAGCCTCGGTGGATGTGCTGTTGTACTCTGGTCATGAAGAAGAAAATGCTCCGCACACACAATGAGTTGCACAGATGCTGTTCAAAGAAGTACTTAAAGCATTTACCGGATGGGAATCTCATGAATCCAGAATCATCAGCGCATCCTTCGGAACAAAGGAGGGGATTACTAGGAGTGTCAACCAATTCTATGCACCCACCAATGATAGGAACGACGACGATAAAGATCAGATTTATGAGATGCTGCAGTCGACCGTAGAGAAGTGCTCGGAAAAGGATCTGACCATTCTGATGGGAGACCTAAACGCCAAAGTCGGAATGGACAACACCGAATATGAAGATATCAAGGGACGATGTGGACTGAGAGAAAGGAACGAAACCCTGAGCAAGATTCGAGAAAGGAAGAACAAGAAGACAGCAGTTAACAAGAACCGAACAAGAACAGAGAAAATCAAGACACAAACTAAATACACAGAGGTAAACAAGCAAGTGAAGAAGAGCATTAGGGTCGGCAAGCAGAAATACGTGAAAGACCTAGAAATGAGAGTGTAAAAAGCTGCAAGAGAAGGAAATATGAGACAACTATATGACACAACAAAGAAACTGGGAAGGAAATATAGTGAACCAGAGAGACCGGTCAAGGACAAAGGCGTGCCTACCATTGAGATTCAAGAACAGAGGAGCAGGTGGGTAGAGCACGTCGAGAAACTCTTGAATAGATCAGCGATATGTGGGCGAGAATGATAAGGAGGATCTGATGCAGACGTAAAAGCGAGGGTTGGCAAGTCAAGGGCAGCATTCCTACATTTGAAGAACATATGGAACCCAAAACAACTGTCTGCAAGCCAGGATCTTTAATACGAACGTCAAGACAATTCTACTGTATGGAGCTGAAACTTGGGCAGCAACTTCAATCATCACTAAAAAGACACAAGTATTTATAAACAATTGTCTACGCAAGATACTGAATGTCCGTTGACCGGATACCATCAGCCACAACCTACTGTGGGAGAGAACAAACCAGCATCGAGCTGAAGAAGAAATTCGGAAAAGACGTTGGAGGTGGATAGGGCATACGTTGGGGAAATTATCAAAGTGTGTCACAAGGCAAGCCCTAACCTGGAATCCAAAGAACACTTTGCGTCGGGAGTTGGAGGCAGACACTAGAGGAGTGGATAGCAACTGTAAACAACTGGAAAGGATTACCCAGGGTAGAGCTGGATAGAGAGTGCTGTTGGGCAGTCTAAGCTCCTCCACGAGGGGTAACAGGCCTAAGTAATTAAGCACGCTGTCTTGAGGAATCGTTGTTCTTGCATTGGCTTCATATGTATTTGTTGTTTGGGTAGATACGTTTCTTTGTTTAAAGTTATAATGAAGTATTTGGTCCCGATAGTCCAAGACAAAGAACCTAGGTTTTGTTTGTCGCCCATCATAGCTACAGTGATTTTAGTTTGCGAGTAACAGGATGCGTTGAGATATCCGAATTCCTTAACTTATGCGCTTACTTGCGCCATATAAATAGATTTTAATTCTGTCAATATGTATGCGTTTGTTTTATAATGGAATGATAATATAGGTAATATTCTACAAATTATAGTTATAAAGTGATAGATGATCTCGGGTTACAGTCATATGAATCTGATATATATTTAAGAGTTTAGATGATTTTGTTTGGAGTTTTCGCGTTTTCATATTAAAATTCTAGATCATTATCCAAATCATCATCTAATTTTTTTATGTATGGTAGTTGAATCATTTTGTATCGGGTATTTTTTAATTTACTAATAATTGTTTATAAATTTACATGGAGTTGGATATTTACTGGTGATACTGGATGACGTTCGAGCTTTATTGCAAAGTAATAAAGATAAAAAACGTGGGCTATTAAACAATTCAGTACTTAAAAGAAATCAAGCTCTATGTGAACTAAAGGTCCTATATTCAATATCACGTGAAACCATGAATGTGCACTGACTAGTTCCAAGTTGAGATAAGCTTACTGTTTCTGAATACTATTTCCTACTCACGATAGTCATTTATGAAAACTATTTTCAAGTTGATTGCATCTCTGTGACTTGTATGTATTCAAAATATTTTTTCAATCCCAGCACTCTGCTATTATTGTAATTGTGAGTTAATTTATTAGAGTAAATATCTTAACTCGGAGATGTGAACACAGTCAAATGTAGATAAACACCATACACCTAATTATGAGCAAAGATGGACGGTGGCTAGCAGTGGAATCCAGGCAACGCTTTTCGTCCTATTTTGAACCGTACATCTAATCCCTGATGATTTTATCCTAACCATAACGTGATCATTTTTTCACATTCAGATTGATAAATTATGTGGATTTCATTTACTCATAAGGATATTTCACAAAAAAAATCTAGGTTGAGGAAATTTATTTGTTTAAATACATTATTGTTTCCGTATTTGTTAGAGGTGCACAAATGTTTATAAAATAGAAATATACCGGACCTAGTATTTGCGGTGTTATAAGAAGATGATAACCAAAGTTGAGTTGAATAATTCTGTTCTATTATATTACACTGTAGGATTTCTGTATATTCCAGTAGAAGATAAAATTAAATTAAGGGCGAGAACATACCTGAGGGACTATAGTTCATAGATGCTAGTCTAGGATATTGCCTTGTTTGCACATTTTGATAAAATTATTCAGAAGCAACTGGAATTTGTCTGTTAACAAAATCATTTTCTTTTCTACATCAATGCTTTGTTTATGCGAATATATTTTTCAATCCAGAAAGTTAGTCTCTGCTATATTGATGGTTATATAAAAAGCCTTCGTTAATATTAATCATAAACATTTAATTCTAACCTTGACTTATTGTCTCTATTTCATTTTAGTGGTTTATTACACAATATGCCTGTTTTTGTTACTCGTATACTGTTGTCCCTCTGTATGCTACTTTGGGTGATCCAGCTATGCAACATATTCTTCAACAAAGTAATTCTTTTAATATACTTGTGTTGTATCTCTGGAAATCTTGTTTTAACTCACTATTGTTTAATTTGATCCAGAACATATATTATTTTATATTACCTAAATAAAAATCGTTTAAAGTTCTTTAATATATTTGAAAAAAACTATTGTATGATTTAATCAAAGGAGAATTTAACGACATTTGTTCGAAGCTGTTGTACCAATATAAAGTTGTGAAAGATAAAATATGGGATGAATGCATACGATGCAACATAACCTGAATAAAAAAACAGTGCACTTAATTTGTAGTCTAAATTTTGAAAATTACTCCAAGTCGTAATAAGCCCTATTAACCAACATAAAGTAAACAACAGTAGGCTTGAACCTGTCATTAAGCAATCGAAGGTTAAATATTGATGATTCATCAATAAAAATATTCACTGTATTGTTTATTGATGCTGACTGTACAAATATTCAATAACACCTAGTTTTTGCAAAATAAATTCCTAGCTAGCATTACTAGTTCCAGAGTTGATAATTCTTTCAGTATCAGATGTTTAGACTAGTTATTATTTATATAATGAATATTTTTCTTATTTTCTCAACAATTCTAGCTGGGCTCGTCATATTAATGTGCCATTCAGCAGATTTAGCCATCAAAATCCTAGAGAAGTTTAATTCATCATTAAAAGTCATTGTCATTGCAGTCCAGGATCAAAGTTTTGAAGATCTAAAAACCCAGTATAGTTCTTCGATGAAAATTTATTCATTTGATGAATTCTTGGTGAGTTTTATTCAAAATTTTCAACATAGTAGTATCGAAGATTATTCGATAAGTGTAATTAGGTGTGTCAAACGCAACGTAGAACCTGGTATGCATGTACATCGGTCCAATCTCCCATAACCCATTAGCACAGAGAGATGAAATTGTTGGGCCAAATTCCAAGGTAGTAACAGTGTAAGTGGTAATAGAAAAGATTAGGCATCTAAGATACGATTCAAGAACACTCAAGTTAGTAAAATAAGGAATTCAGAAGCTTAGAGTCTGGGAGAAGATAAAGAGTGAATGAATCTGTGCATTTTGAAACAATTTTGAGCCATGTACTTCAGTCCGTAACAATTGTTTACTACAGTCACGCAGAACTCAACCCAGGTAGTAGTATAGACCTTTTAACATGGCTCAGTCTATTTGTCAGTACCTTTGTGGACTGGTGCCACGTTTTGGTTTGGTCACCCCAAGCTTTTTTCCAGCCTACTTCTACACCAGATAACACCGACCGTTGAGATAGGCAGTGGTTATATATATATATGTATATATATATATATATCACTGTAATTTATTTTAATCTTTAGAGCATGTGATCTCCAACCACTGATTCCTAACATTCACTTGCATTCGAACAAGCAACACTATACTCACCATGTTGGTTAAATTGACAGTTGTTTGTTTGCTTTATGGAATGATGCATTATCTTCAACAGACTATATTTGAGCTTTCTAACATGAAGCTAATTCGCCTGTCTAAAAGGCCAGTGTTCACTTCTCTCAGCTACTTGAAGTTTAGAATCCCGTTGACTGATTAATCCCTTAACCCAGAACCTCGTGCTGATTTTAAAAGGCAATAATCCTGTAATTCTATGAAATACATTCATTCGTTTGGAAGGATCAGTAGTCAAACATGTGTCACGTTCTCCTTCTGCCACAGTTACCGTGTATAGCTATCGTTGATTGAAACAGAGGAAACTTTATTTTAGTAAGTATGCTTATTTTAGGAGACTGGATAGTTCATCGTATATGGAAATAAGTTTTAAATATTGACTTTTTCTCAAGAAAAAAACAACGTATAATAATATTTTTCAACTGTTTCTTGTTCTCAAAAACACATTTCTTTAAGTAAAACTCAAACATATTGCTTCTTAAGTGAGTTGCATTTATATGCTATTCATTATGAGTAAGCTTCATGTCTATTCCACAGATTATACTACCTACAGTCGTACCGTGCTAAGATAGTTTTTATGTGACTAACATCTGTTATTCTCGGTTAAATACATCTAGTGATTTTCACCTCTCTTTGATCTAATACCTGGAACACTCAGTATTTTAGAGTCTTTCAGTCTTTCTTAAATCCTTGGGTGACTTCACTGCTTAACACTTAAAACTGTTTGCAACCGTTTGAAAGAAAAGATGAGAACGTTGAAATAATTAACTTTTGAGATATTACATTTGGAATGGCTTATAATTTCATGTTTACAGTATAGTGAAAAATCTTAACAAGTTTACTCACCATTACTCATTCCCATACTGGTTGCTTCGATCACATATCTAAGCAGTTTATGTACTGAGTGTTTTACGGACGTCTTTACTGAACGTTGAGATATTTGAAGTATATTAGGTAAAGTTTAAATATCTCTTAATTATCTCACTGAAATAATAAATCTTTTAGAATTATTATTCAAACCTGTGTTTACTTTAATCGAATTAAGCAAGAAAAGTATTATACTTCTGCTGCTTTCAACAGAAACAACGATCTGTCCTACAAAACTGAAATATACGTTTATGTATTTAAAATTCACACACAAATTCTAAGGTATAGATTTTAAGAACTGTTCTCTTGATCTGAAGCCACTTAACAGCAAATATTTTTTCGTTTTGTTCATCTCCTTTTCCTGCTGATATCTGTCAGTGGAGCGCTGAGACTAAACTACAATACAATAGAATTTTTCTGATGGAATACCAGGGTTTTTTATGTTAATTTTCTACTCATCACTTTTTCTCTCTGCCAGCTCACCATTCTTGGCGTCTGGCAACTGAAATTAAGGGATTTTCTCATTGATCGGTTAAGAACATGAAATATTTGGGCTTTAATTTACAAAAATTAATTAAATATAACATTTTTAAAGTTTACTTATCTACAATACAGATAGCTAGATAATCAGTGTAGGATGTATTATTTATATTGTTTAGAAATATTTGCTATTCATGCGATTTTGGCATTCAAGATTTATATTTTTAAATATGTTAGCAATTCAATCATCTGTGCTTTTCAGCTTGAATAGATTATGGATGTCGGCTTTTAGGGTTTCAAAAAAACGTGAATAAAATACCAAGAAATAATGTTTTCTTATCACATGTGATTTTTCAAATGATTTTGGTATTTCATAGCAACGGTGTTGAAAGTAGGACTATTCGTATCACTTGAATTCAAAAACAATAAATCAACCTGAAACGAAAGTGAATATGAAACAAATAACACCAAAAAACCATCCTGAAATGAAACTGTGCACATACATGTAGTGACTACATACTTATTATGCGTTTACATCATGGATGGAGACCGGGACGCTACTCAGTTTACATTTACTAAGCCGATGGAATCACAGTTCAGTTCTCAATCAGTTGATCTGAACAATAATTTTACCCGTTTATCAGGTCTTATCTTGTAAATCAAACTTTACTATTTATAAATTGTAATGTGGAGCTTAGCGATACTCCGTTAGTATAACAGGGGATTTTATTAACAAATTCAGAATTGTGAAATCTGAATATTCAAATTCATGAACTATTTTTCACCAAATAAAGACTTTTATATGATCTAACTGATGTGTGGGCGAGAAAAATAATGGTTGGGTTTATGAGTCAATTAAAGCTAGACCACCATGGAAAACACCTTTCTGATAATGATCATCATATGCTCACTAGTGACTGACTTCAAGAGGTATTTCTTGGAGTTCTAGTGAGAATGCTTGGTCAGTGGAGTTCAGCTGGGTCTGTTGTGATATAGTAACTCACTGAAGACAACGGTGGATAGTAGCGCAATTTTGTGGATTGGTTGAAGTTGGACATTAACATCGTTGGTTGCCGGCTCAGTGGTCTAGAGGTTAAGCGCTCGCGCGCGAAACTGATAGGTCGTGGGTTCGAATCTCGCGAGTGGAGTCGTGGATGCGCACTTCAGAGGGTTTCCATGCTAAGACGAAACGGTTGTCCACTGCTTCCTGGTTTTTATGGTGGTCTAGCATTAATTGACTCATGAACTCAACTATTCAATTACTACAGTCTCCATAAATCCCTTTTCTGAGAAAAATAATGATTGGTTGTTTATCTATTCAGACTAGTAGCTAGTCTGGCAGGTATTAGGTCTGTTGTATATTTTCCTACCCTTGTTATTATTGTTATTGTCAATTGTTGAAGTTGGAATATACTCACTTTCTGTTTAGGCCAGTCACGTGTTGATGTCGTGTAGAGTAGATACCGGCATGGTATCTAGTGTAGATATATACGTCTAAGTCAAATCATTGTCCTATTGGTGTAAAGGAGAAAAGTGAGCATTATTTCACTAACATTATTATTACTATTATGTGCTACATAACGAAATTAGTAAGTGGATATATTTTGCAACTTATCACATAGATCTATGACTCATAAAATACAATTATTTTATTGCAAATTGATGAGCGTTTTGACATGTGAATAAGGTTTAAACTAATACATATATCATTGTTGAAAGCGTGAGTCAATTGAAGCTAGACCACCATGGAAAACCTGGAAACACTGGACGGCCGTTTCGTCTTATTATGGGACTCCTCAGCCAGCTCAGTGGTCTATCGGTTAAGGGCTTCGGCTCGAGACTGGTAGGTCCTGGGTTCGAATCTCGCTCGCGAGAGCAGGTTCATGGATGCGCACTGCTGAGGAGTCCCATAATAGGACGAAACGGCCGTCCAGTGTTTCCAGGTTTTCCATGGTGGTCTAGCTTCAATTGACTCACGCTTTCAACAATGATAAATACTAAATCTCCACAAAACCCCTTCTATAATACATATATAACAAATTCAGAATTGTGAAATCTGAATATTTAAATTCATGAACTATTTTTCACCAAATAAAGACTTTTATATAATCTAACTGATATATATGTCCTAAGGTATGGATTCTGTATTTTATGTCTAAAATTATTGACAGCATATGCATGCAAATTAAGTAAAATTGATATTTTGTTTCGAATATACACTGCTTAAGTCCAATCTAAGTTGTTTTGTCAAAAGCATGTATAGATACCTGGATCACCTGGTCAATGGAAATCAAACACTCTAGTATTTTAACGTTTAAAAACTAGTGTCACAATTTATGTCAGGCAGTGAATATCGGTTCACATATGACACCGGGTTAGTTACTTCAAGAGATTGAATTTCTCAATTTAATGTCTGTCAAATATTCTCCAGATTCAGGAACTTATCACGTTCCTTCAGACGAATTGTGGAGACCTCAGTTAAAGCTTTGATGGTGACATATACTATTTAGTTGTTTGATCATTTGGGATATTCCATTTCCTCTATCCATTCACAATAGCATTTATCACTAACGAGTAGTAAATGTAGCTGAAAACAGATATATATATATATATATTTTTTTTTTTTTTTCAGGATCTGGGAAGAAGTGATCTGAAACCGAAAATTGTGAGTCGTTGTCGTTATATTTTCTGGTTGAAAATCCTTTAATCCTTTTTAATAATTTTTGTCCCAATTACAAATTTTTTGCATTGTGTTTGTGAATTATAGATCTGAGCATACATTATCGTTTGTGTAGTATTAAATCAATTTGTAAAATTAATTTGAAATCTCAGGATAATGTGCTTGCCCTAATCAAAATTTTTTGCTAGGGTAAAGAGGGACCAGTAAACAAAAGTGTTTCTTTGTGCATAATTTGGGGTGAGGATGAACTTCACTTTTGTTCGTATTTTGGCCTTGCATCTGGCGAACAGCCAAAATGAAGGGGGAAATATTATCCACACTATCGTAAACCATGACGGAAGGCGTGTTTCGTTACCTGTCGTTTTTGCTGGCTTACATGGAAAATGATTTCTACGACAAAAATATGACTCCATCATGCTACGGACGTGGTTAGTGTAGGGCAGTAAGTCATGATGGAAGAAAAATTACGATATAGCAAGAGACATATCTCCAATTAACTTTATAATAGAAATTATCCTAAAATGTCTACAGTTGAGTGACTAAATCAACAAAAACATAACCGCAGTTACTGACTACGATACACTTAGGTGACTTGAAAACGTGAAGTTTTTCCTCAGCCATAATTCGTAGCTGTTTAATAGAATGTTTACACACTTAATGAAAACATGTATCATCATATCTTTTTCCATAACACTCATGTATTACCAGATACTATTCATTTTAGTCGTATAAATCAGCGAACGAAAGGAAATTATTCCTACAGATCAATTAAGATAAACTGATGTTGCGTCATCGTGTATTTAATGATACACTTGAAGACTAATGAATTCTTTGTGTTTTTATTGCCATCGTTCTAGCGAATCAAGTCAGTGCACATTAAATAAGATGCGAAACTACTTTTCTTATGTTCTTTTTTTCTCCATACTTTGTTGAATCTCATCATCATACACGCCTGGTAGGACTTGGCATAGTAGTGGGTTTAGTGAGATTAAGCTTAAGAAATATCAAAATAAATCCGCAGCTTTTTTATTCTTTGTTACAATCTTAAGTTTACTCCACACATCGATGAAATAGCTCATTTCCCATGTTGACAAATCGCGTTTTCATGGAGGTACTTTGATTCCTAGTAATTTTTAAAATAATTTGTCCTAATAGTTTAATTGACCACTGAGTAGTAACCAGCTGTTTGTCTGGTCTTTTTGTGCTTATCGAATTCTGTCGATCAATTTCCAATGTGGTCGCTAGTCTGATTGACTCGATATCGTGTACATCTTATTGAAATGTTAGGTGGTGATTGGAGGCTCCTAATCACTACATAGAAATTAAATGTAATTTAGCTTCTAGCATTTCTGACCTCCTATGTAACTATATTTATTAAAACATTTGAAATTGGTTTTAATAATGTTTCGTGTTTTCAAATTGTTCTCTCTATGAACTCGAAAGCAGTTCATTTATAGTAATGATGTTTAATTTTGCTTTGCTTTATAGCCTCCAACTGAGAAAGATCTATGCCTCATTTGTTACACCAGTGGCAGTACAGGTGTGTATATATTTGGGTTTTTTTGTTAAGTAGTTTGCACATCCAGAATTTTTCGTCAAAACATTATGAAAATGAAATGTAGATTGCAATGTTTTGTACTCTGAGAGATACATTCTTAGTTTTATTGTCAAAACACTCATCACTCCAACCATTCGTAATGCTATATACTGTTTTTCTTACATCAGAATGTTCATTACAGTGTCTGAATAGGCTGTACACAGTGAAAGTCATTACCAAAAGTATTATTCCGTAAATTAATATAGTTCATAGACTTGGAATTTTTCTACGGTCTAATTATACCATTACGCATATAACTTATTGTAAAATCATATCACTGCGTATTCTATTTCTAATCTGTAGGTATCATTACAAAGGTTTGACTTGATAATTTCGAGTAAATTGAGCATTGGGTAGATTGTTATAAATAAAATAATATATTTGTAATATCCCAATGAATAGAGAATTAGATTTTCTGACGTTTCGTGACTCACTGTAAGCCACTTCTTCAGAGTATAAATAACCAAATCAAAATTAATCCCAAATTATATAGTACAAAGGAACAATACAAGAATATTATGTGCGATCAATCAAAAAACAGGTCTGAACAAGTCAATGTCATGTCATTTCGATCAAGGTGATTTTTGGGTCGATCTTTTCATATGGTCCTGTAGCGATATGTTCAGAAGCTTCATTATTATAATCTTTATTTATGACTACTGTTGTGTTGCCCTTGTCAGCTTTTGTGATTATAATTGTTTTGAAAAAGAGTCTCATTTACTGCGTCAAAAGGCATCCCATATTTTGACTAAACAAAAATACCTTACCAGAAGGGGGTTTTGTGGAGATTTTAGTAATTTTATATAGTTGAGATCATGAGTCGATCGGACCTAGACCACCATGGAAAACCTGGAAGCACTGGACGGCCGTTACATCCTATTGTGGTTGTTCAGTGCTTCCAGGTTTTCCTTGATGGTATAGCTTCAATTCACTCATGGTCTCAACTGTACAAAAATACCTTACGCCTAACATTTCAAAAGAAGAATTGAAGGCTCTACACTCTCTTCAAAAAGACAAAATTATTATAGTCACAAAAACTGACAAGGGCAACACAACAGTGGTCATGAATAAAATAGATTATATTAATGAAGTTTCTGAACATATGGCTACAGGACCATATGAAAAGATCGATCCCAAAAAAATTTCTATCGATTAGAAATAAAGTCAAATCAGAGACAAGCCAACCTTTAAAAGAACTAAAACCAATGGTTGCTGTCTCGAACACACATTTGCATTATCGAAATATCTGAGCTGTTACAACTACACTACAATTTAACCTACATAATATAATTAGAGATTCCTATGACTTTAAATCAAAAATATTGGAATTAATTATTGAAAAGAATAAATTCATGGTAAGGTATGATGTTGTTTCATTATACACTAGTATTCCTATTTATAAATGCTTAAAATTCATCAGTGGCTTAAAATGCTTTATCTGACAGATGTCCTTCAAGCATTAATCTAATCATAAAATCCCTAAAACTTTGCTTAAATTCGACACTATTTACTTTTAACAGAACCTGATATAAACTAACGGTGTAGCAATGGGACCTCCCGTTCCCTGATTGTAGCCAACTTGTTTATGACACAAACAGGATCCAATATTTTCACCAACGACATTAAACCATGAATTTGACTTAAAAACCTAGATGATACCTTTGTTGTGATAAAAAAAGACTCATCTAAGATCTTTTCGAAAATGGATCAATACACTTTAATTTCACATTAAATTTACGTACTGGAATGAAAATGAACACGGTAAACTACCATTTTTAGGTTGCTGAGTTAAAAGAAACCTAGGTGGAGCTCTAAACCTAACTATCTACCGGAAACCAATGCATTCAAATCGTTACATTGACTTCAATTCAGCACATCCATTCAGTGCAAAGATCTCGCTACTTACTTACTTACTTACTTACGCCTGTTACTCCCAATGGAGCATAGGCCGCCGACCAGCTTTCTCCAAACCACTCTGTCCTGGGCTTCCTTTTCTAGTTCTATCCAGTTCTTGTTCATTCTTCTCATGTCTGTCTCTATTTCTCGGCGTAATGTGTTCTTTGGTCTTCCTCTTCTCCGTTGAGCTTCAGGATTCCATGTGAGGGCTTGTCTTGTGGCGCAATCGGGTGATTTCCTCAAGGTGTGCCCAATCCACTTCCAGCGCTTCTTCCTGATTTCTTCCTCCGCTGGAATCTGGTTTGTTGTCTCCCACAGTAACTTGTTGCTGATAGTGTCTGGCCAACGGATCCGAAGTATCTTGCGTAGACAGCTGTTGATGAACACTTGTATCTTCTGGATAATGGCTTTCGTAGTTCTCCACGTCTCCGCCCCATACAGAAGAACTGTCTTGACATTTGTATTGAAAATTCTAACCTTGGTGTTGGTTGACAATTGTTTTGAGCTCCAGATGTTTTTCAGCTGTAGGTATGCTGCTCTTGCTTTGCCGATCCTCGCCCTCACATCTGCAGCTGATCCACCGTGTTCATCAATGATGCTGCCCAGATATGTAAAGGTTTCCACATCCTCCAAAGCTTCTCCGTCAAGTGTAATTGGATTGGTGCATATTGTATTGTATCGGAGAGTCTTGCTTTTCTCTTTGTTTAAATTGAGACCTACTGCTGCTGAGGCTGCTGCTACATTGGTCGTTTTCTCCTGCATTTGTTGTTGCGTTTGTGATAGAAGAGCCAGATCATCCGCGAAGTCTAAATCGTCAAGCTGCATCCTGCCTGTCCACTGTATCCCGTGATTTCCTCCAGATGTTGACGTCTTCATGATCCAGTCGATGACCAGGAGAAAGAGAAAGGGTGAGAGTAAGCAACCTTGCCTAACACCGGTCTTTACCTCGAATGAGTCGGTGAGTTGTCCTCCGTGGACGTTTTGGCAGTTTATTCCATCATAGGAGTTCCGTATGATATTGACTATCTTTTGAGGCACGCCGTAGTGTCGAAGAAGCCTCCATAGTGTCGTCCTGTCCACACTATCAAATGCCTTCTCGTTGTCGATGAAGTTGATGTAGAGTGATGAATTCCATTCGATTGATTGTTCCACAATGATACGTAGAGTTGCGATTTGATCTGTGCACGATCTATCCTTACGAAATTCAGCTTGTTGATCTCGAAGTTGAGCGTCCACGGAATCCTTCATCCTGTTTAACAATACTCTGTTGAAGACTTTTCCTGGTATTGAGAGGAGAGTGATGCCCCTGTAGTTGTCGCACTTGCTGAGATCGCCTTTCTTTGGTATCTTGATGAGAAGTCCTATTTTCCAGTCTGTTGGTACTTGTTCTTCATCCCAAATCTTACTGAAGAGGATATGGAGTATCTTGGCAGTTGCTGCTACGTTTGCCTTCAGTGCCTCTGCCGGGATGTTGTCTGGTCCCGCTGCTTTGCCACTCTTGATTTGTCTAATGGCCATGCTGATCTCTTCAATTGTTGGTGGGTCAATATCGATTGGGAGGTCTGTGGGTGCTGCTTCGATGTTGGGTGGGTTCAGTGGAGTTGGTCGATTCAAGAGTTCTTTGAAGTGTTCTACCCACCTGTTTCATTGTTCTTCAATGTCGGTGAGTAATTTGCCTTCTTTGCTTTTCACTGGTCTTTCTGGTTGACGGTAATTTCCAGCAAGTTTCTTTGTTGTATCATACAGTTGTCTCATGTTTCCCTCTCTTGCAGCCTTTTCCGCTGTCATCGCTAAATCTTCCACATATTTACGTTTGTCGGTTCTGATGCTCCTCTTCACTTGTTTGTTTGCCTCTGTGTATTCGGCTTGTGCCTTGGCTTTTTCCGCTTTGGTTCGGCTGGTATTGATTGCTGCCTTCTTGTTCCTCCTTTCTTCAATTTTATCCAGTGTACCAACAGTGATCCATTCCTTGTGATGGTGCTTCTTTTGGCCCAGAACCTCCTGACATGTTGAAACGATTGCCTCCTTGATACCTTTCCAGCTGCTCTCTATGGTGGTTCCCTCTCCATTGAGTAGGTCATGAAAGGCCTCGAACCTGTTACTGAGGGCTATGTTGAATTTGTTGAGTTTGTCAGCATCTCGAAGAAAGGCCGTGTTAAACTTTTGTGATGTTGTCCGCGCCATTGTCCAGTGCTTCTTGAGTTTTAGTTTCATCTTGGCGACCAGCAAATGGTGATCGGATGCTATATCAGCTCCTCTTCTGGTTCTCACATCCTCCATCGTCCTCCTGAACTTTTTGTTGATGCAGACATGGTCGATTTGATTTTGTGTAGTGTGATCCGGTGAAATCCAAGTGGCTTTGTGTATGTTTTTGTGTGGGAATATGGTGCCACCTATGACCAGTTTATTGAAGGCACATAGGTTTGCAAATCTCTCACCATTTTCGTTCCTTTCTCCCAGTCCATGTTGTCCCATGACGTCTTCGTATCCAGTGTTGTCCTTTCCAACCTTGGCATTGAAATCTCCCATCAGAATGGTCAGGTCTTTGGTTGGGCACTTCTCGAAGATTGACTGCAACCTGTCGTGGAATTGGTCTTTAGCGTCTTCATCGTAGTCGTTGGTAGGCGCATAGCATTGGATGACGTTCATTGTAATGCCCTCTCTCTTTGTTTTGAAGGAGGCTTTGATGATCCTTGGTCCATGAGATTCCCATCCAATAAGTGCATTTTGTGCTTTTCTAGACAGCATCAGTGCCACTCCTTGTGTATGTGGGGCATTTTCTTCTTCATGACCGGAGTATAACAGAAGTTCTCCTGAAGACAGTCGTTGTTGTCCAACCTGCGTCCAATGCGTTTCACTGATTCCAAACACCTCCAGGTTGTATTTTCTCATTTCTGCAGCAATTTGGAAGACTCTTCCGGTCTCCCACATTGTTCTGACATTCCATGTACCTATAAAAATTGTTGCTCTGGTTGTAAGAAGGTGCATCGGCCTCATGACTTCCGAAGGAACTTGGCTTTCATCATGAGACGTCATAATTATTCGTT